TAAGGACTCTCTGCCCCTCCTTCTGACAACCTAAACCCAGACCTTTATTGCATTGCTTTTTTTTTTTAAATTATACATTTGAAAACCTTGGTGAGGGGCAGGACAAGGGCCACCCATCACCCCAAGTTGCTCGTGGCCATTCCTGGCTCTGCTCAGGAGTGAATCCTGGAATTGCTCCTGCGATCATATGAGGTCCTTGGGATTGAACCAGGTTGGCCGTCTCCAAGGTGAGTATCCTATCCATTATTCTGTTTCTCCAGCTCTGAAAGAAGGAATCTTATTTTTTGAGCTTCTCTCTCTCCTGAGTTTTAGTTCAGACTTCAGTTCTGCGACTTACGAGGTTTTAGTGGCTCTGAATTCTTCCCCTGAAGAAACTCTTGGCAACTTCTGGAGATTTTTTCTGGTTGTAACTCTGGCGTGGGGTTGGGGGTAGGGGTAGACCCCAGGGATGCTGCCCAACATTCTTCAAGTCCCGCCACCAGAGTTACTTGTCCGCAGATATCACTCTAGCCAATGTAGGGGAAACCCTCCCTTCCTGGAAGGCCTCTTCAGTTTTCTCTATTTGGACCCCTTCTCTCTCAAGAATGTTACCATGACCCCAAAATATAGGTTTGTAAATTATGAACTTTTTGTAAGCCCACTAGTTGGGATGTCCAATGGATTGCTCCATTTTACTAGACATCTCAGCTCTAGCCTAAGAATTCCAGGCTGAAATACCTCAATGCTGTGTTTCCTGTGTGTGGACAACGGGTCGCAGACTTCTCTGCAAGTCAATAAATGTGACTTTATGAGTTCTTGTGGGCACATGTGATAACCACTGGGTAAGTGAAACCAACCAGGCTCCCCTCCTTCCTGTCTTATTAGGCTACCAAGTTTACTAACATGTTAATAATGCCAAAATCTGCGTCAAATCTTAGTTTCAAAACACTGTCAAAGTTTAGTGTCAAAAGCCTGTATCAAAGTCCCACAAGGAAACTCCTTCTATTGGGGGCTATGCTGCCTGATGCTCAGGGGCTCCTCCCAGCTCAGTGCTCAGGGGAAATGCTCCTTACAGTGCTGCTGCTCACTACTGGTGGAGTCCAGGGAACCATGTGGTGCTGAAGATGTAACTCAGTCCTTCCACATACAAAGCATGTACACTAGCCCTTTGAGCTCTGTTATAGGTACCAGGAGCCCTTCCCCCGTTTCAGTTCACTTTTAGAGACTAGTTTTCAGTGGAATGGCTTAAACAAATATTTCTTTTGCAGATAGACTCTTAGGAAACTTGAGGCCCCATAATAAGACCATAGCTCTGTGAGCGTAGCATTAATAGATGGTCAAAAAATGTTATTTGAGTAGTCATTGAGCAACTTGCTAGCGAGTAGAATAATTAAAAAATAAGGTAAACCATAGGCCTCAGTAATTTCTGATAATTATTTGCTGGTTTAGTTTGGTTTGGGCAGCATGTCTGATGATGCTCAGGGATTAATCCTGGCTTGGCACTTGCAAGTTGCTCCCAGCTGTGCATATGTGACCGTGATGCCAGGGCACGACAAACTTAGGCCTCCTGTGTGAAAAGCATGCATTCATCCCACCAAGCTGTCTCTCTGGCCCTCTGTGTTGTACTTTTATATTCCAGAAAAATGACTTATAAAGGAGAACTAGGAAAAGCAAACAAAAGTTAGCATGGTTCTCTCTCCCTCCTGCAGATACTGTTAGGGCCAAAAGTTTATGCTACAGACCATGTGTTTCTCCTCTCTGACACAAGGTGGCTCTTTGCAACTAGACTCGATGAAAAGTTAACTATTAGAAGGTTCATTTTTGCAAGACCTGTAGGGAAAGGAGCCTAGAAGTGGCCGAGCAAGAGGAAAAGTGAACTCAGGCATTTTAAAGTACATATTTGTGTCAGAGCAAGACACCTGCCTTGAACAAACTGCTAAGAATTCATCAGATCATTGTGGATCTTCGCCAAGGATGAGTGGAAGTGCTGTAGGGAAGGAGATGCTATTTGGACTTGCCTCCTGGGGGGGGGGGGGGCAACTGTCATGGGCAGATAAAGAAGGTGCTAGGCATAGTGGGTCCTTACTTGAATGCCCAGGGTGGAGCCTTGGGGGGTCTGATGGTGAACAGTCACGGGCTCTTGACACACTCCACAATTCTCTTCTATGCCTCTGCTGCTGCGTCTTGCTCATTGTCCTTCTCTCCTCTCCCTTTTCTGTCATCCTTGCACTTAAGCACCTCTCATGACCCTGCCTACCAGTCTGACAAAGCTCACATCTCTTTCAAGCCCCCACAGTTCCAAAAAACACACAGAAGCATTGTGTTGCCCTGACCAACTAGTTTAGAAGCATGGGGCCTACAGTCTCCTATTTTTTTTAATAAAATAAAATTCTTTATTTCAACACCAGGGTTTACAAAATTGTTCATAGTACAGTTGTTCTGGGCTTTCGATATTCCAATACCTGTCCCACCATCTGAGTGCCTTCCCTCCACCACTGTCCCCATTTTCCGAACTACCCCCCAAATCCTCTATTCTTATATGATCTGTCTAACCCCCGGGAACCAAGGAGCTGGGCATCTGACTCAGTAATAGAGCATATGTATGCCTTTCATGTAGAGGACCAGGTTTTGATCCCTTGCATCCCCAAACCAAAAAGTTCCTTGATTCAGTCAAGAGTATAGCATAGAATACAAAGATGGTAGAGACGATGTGAATCTGGGTGCAAGTTCACCTTCCCTCCCTCAGTCTCCTCATCACCTCCCTCCTCCTCTGTGGTTGGTTTGTCTCTCAAGTGCCCATATGTGAGCATATTGTGTATTTGGTCATTAAAAATATATGTGGGGAGAGCTGGAGAGTTAGTATAAGGGTTAAGGTGTTTGCCTTGCACAAGGCTCACCCCAGTTTGATCCTCAACACCGCGTATGGTTCCCCAAGCACCACGGTTCCCCAAGAACCACCAGGTGTGATCCCTGAGCAGAGTCAGGAGTAGAATATGGCTCCAAAACAAAAATATTGGCAGGGCGGGGGAGGGAGGAGGGTAGCTAGGTGGATAGCATAAGTGGTGGGTCATCTGCCTCTTTGAGACCCTAAATCTGGTCCCTAGCCCTTGATCCCTAAATGTATATAAGGAAAACAGGAGGGGCTGGAGTGATAGCACAAGAGGTAGGGTGTTTGTCTTGCATACGGCTGACCCAGGTTCAAATCCCAGCATCCCATATGGTCCCCTGAGCAACTGAGTGCTGAGCCAGGAGTAACCCCTGAGCATCTCCGAGTGTGACTCAAAAAGCAAAAAAAAAAAAAAAAAAGGAACTAAGATTTTGAGAACCGAGGGTGGGCAGGATGGAGGGGGTGTTGGCCACTTTGAAGGAGAATGAACATAATAAACTAGGCAGGCAGGTGCCACCTGTATGACCCAGGGAAAGGCCTGGGGGCAGGCACTTGCTCTCCTGGGTCCACACCAGGAGGATGTGCTGGGCTCGCAAGGTGGGCAAGGAGGAATTTTGAGTGATGGGTGATAATTCACGCAGCATCCAATCCAAGACTGAGGGGGTACAGCTACTCAATCTGCGGGTGAGGAACACCATCAGGGCTAAACTTAGCATCTCTATCTGCAACTCTAGTTCCTTGAAGGCTTCAATGGTCCTCAACCCAAAAGATGAAGACCAGGGAGGCTCCCAGTGATCCTGTTAAACTGGTCCCAGGGAGTAGCATGTGCGGCTTTTATGTCTTGCTGCTGAATCTTGCTGCTGAGTCCACAGTGGGAGGAGGATGTGAGCAAGAGGTGATGCCCACCCTAACCCCCAGGAAGGCAGAGGCCTCCCTCATTGCCAACAGCAACCTCAATGTGCCAGATGGAGGGAAAAAGTACTAAGACTCGACTGGAAGGTCCTTGTTTCTAAGGCAAGGCCACTTTCAGCTGACATAAAGAAGCCAGGGGAGAGATGTTACTTAGAAGTCCTGAATTCGATCCTCAGCACCACCAAAAACCCAAAATGACAACAAAACCACTGATGAACAAAAATGTGTTACTTAGGTCCCCCAGCACCTGAGAATAATGTGTGGCTGGGGAAAGAGGGCCAGCAGAGAACACCCCAGTAGACATGTTTCCTTAAACCAAATTCCTCAGTCACCCACCTGGCATTGGGATCTCCCTCAGAGCTCACAGCACTTTGACTTGCCTCACGGATGGAAAATCTTGTTGAATTTGGGCTTTGCCAACTGCCAGATATTACATTGGTGAATAATAAAGTAAACAAGTTTGGCAAATATCCATTTTTGGCAAGAGTAAAGATATAACACAAGAGATTTTCTCAGTTGATTTACTTATTTTATTTATTCTTTCTTGAATAAAAATAAAGGGGGGGGGGGTGTGGGATTATACCTGCTGGTGCTCAGGACTGACTCCTGGCTCTGTGGTCAAGAATCACTCCTGGTACTACTTAGGGGACCCAAAGCAGTGCAGGAGATCTAACCCGGGTTTGTTGTGTGCAAAACAAACACTTTAACTAACTTAATCCCTGAACTATTTTCTCCTGCTCCTACTAACTTGACGCAGCCAACATGGCCGACTTTTAAGTACATCCAAAAAATGTTTTAACACTGAAGATATTATTAGAAAAATTAGCATCTCAAATCAGTGCTTTATTCTGGATGTATTTAATGTATGTCCCCATGGCGTATTTGATATGCCAAAAACAGTAACAACAAGTCTCACAATGGAGACGTTACTGGTGCCCGCTCGAGCAAACAATGGGAGGACAGTGCTACAGTGCTAACGTATGTGAGGGCCTTACTCTGTAGGCAAATCTCATCTATTCCAGTTTTCATAAAATCTACTCTTTGAGATTTACTTTTGGGGGTGTGTTTTTTGGGTCCTGTAATTATTTTCACAGTTATTATTCTTACCCAGAGTCAACTTGTCTTCTTCCTTGAAATGTGCAGATATCTCGATGCAGCCAATGCCTTGGAACAAGAAACAAAAATGGGGTTACGACACTTTGAAGTTTGTGACAACGTTGATCTTGAAACGATTTTGATGGACTATGAGAGCTATTATTTTGTAAAATTTCAGAAGTACCCTAAAATCATCAAAAAGGCGTCAGATCCAGGTAGATGGCTCTTGAGAAATAGGCTGTAGCTCACCTTTCAGACTCACATTTCTGCCTCATTTCAGTCCTGGACAAGATGGCGCCTCTTCCGGGAAGGGAAGAGTGGACCAGAGAGACGGTGCAGCCTCCATAGGTCATCACAGATAGTTGTTGCTGCATCATCCGGATGCAGATATCCAGGCTGGCAGTGGCATGGGAATGTGCGTCTGGGGCAGTGAAAGCAAGATCTCTCCACATGTGGCAGATTGGCAGGTTCTTTTTAGAAACCCAACATGACTCTCATTTCTTTTGAGTTGAAAAGAGCTGTCGGGAGGAGATGAATGACAGAAGACATTCTTTCTTTCTTTCTTTCTTTTTTTTTCTTGTTAGGAAGACCTATTATGGCTCTTGAAAAGAACATGAAAATGAGTATTGGGGAAGCTAATAGCTCATGTATAGATAATGAAATGCTTTTGAAAGCCATCAATCCAGATCATGATCAATAGACTGCAAAGGCCCAGTGGAGGGCAGCAGCCGGGGAGGCTGGCTTGGGGGTGGGGGGAGCTTTACATGCAGGGGGGAGGGAGCTGTCATTGTTGGAGCAACATTGACTCAGAAGTCTGGAAGTGGGGGAAGTAATTATAAACCAAGGGAGATCATTGTCCTGTTTATAAGGCACTTGTGCAGCCACAGACTTTAACATTTCATGTAGGGACCAGGAAACCAAGAGGAACATTGATTAAAAATAACTAGGGCTTATCAAAAAAAATAGAATTCCATTTTTTTTCTTGATAATTCTGCTAAACATTTAGTTGCAACAGGCAATATATAACAGTAATTATTTTGTGCTTGTTAAGAGGGCAAGTGGGGTGGGTGGAGTTTGAGGAAGGGTTTGAGAAAATGGGGACATGGTGGAGGGAAGGTCACTCAGGTGGTGCAATTGGGGTTGGATGCCCATAACAACTGTATTATGAGAAAATTTGTAAATCCTGATGTTTAAATAAAGTAAAAATAAATAAAACCAGGGCTGAGTGTCTGGGCTGGAAGGGGTCCGAGAGAGGTGTTTGATCTGAGCTCCCTTCCCCAAATGGTTTCAGGCTTTGGCAGCCTCAGCTGGTTGGTTCCTAGCTCTGTAGGGGAAGCGCTGATCCCTAACCATAGGTGGTCATGGACACTCCAACACCATCTGTCTCCATGTTTTCATTTGCAGGGTAACAGTGATCACTGCTCCCTGCAGGCTCACGCTGTTCTCCTGGTGCACCCCAGAGCACAGCAACACGGTCCGGGGTTGTTAAAAATGGGACGAAGCCCGTAAGGCCAGCCAGTGACGGTTCCAATGTGTTTTATTTCTGAGGCCCTTGAGCTCCTTCTCTATGTGGAGCTGCTAATTCCCTGGCAAATTCTTTTCTCTCTCTATGAGAGTCACTTAGAGTCTCTGGATTCCAAAAGGTCAAGGCACAGATCCCAAGAACAATGTAAAAAGGATGAACCTGACTAGAAAAAAAGACATCATTTTCTCTTAGAAACTAAAACCTGTCCATTTCCTTCCATGTTTGTTTTATCACAGCAGAAAATAATTTATCACCAAGAAGTGGAGGGAAGGCCAGAAGGTAAAGTGAATGGTAATTTATCTGAATAAACTCAGCTCCAGGCCTGTATGGGATCCCTTTCCAGAAGATTCTCCAGCGCTGCTCCACGGTGGTCTGCAGTACCAGCGTGAGGTCATGTGACCTCAGTCGCCCAGACATGGATTCCCCACAAGTCAATTCTCCTGGTCTTACCTCACGTCGTTGCATGCAGGGATGCTATGTTTCTAGCTTGTCACAGTGCATTGTTCTGAGAAGGGATTTCTGAGATACAAAGGCCAACTTAGATCCTGACCCTACTACTATGCCAGGGAGAGAGTTCCACCATAAGGTGCTGGCCTTGCCTACCTACAAGCCTGGTTTTATCACCAGCATGTTTTGTTCAGGGGTCACTCCTAAGCACAGAGCCAGAATTAGCCACTGGGCACATCTAGGTGTGGCCCCAACCCCATCTCCCTGCCCCCTTCCCACACAAAAAAGTTAAGAAAAAACCCAAACACCACCACTAAAAACAAGGTCAGAGCCAACTATTGAGCTGTAGTGAGTTTATGGCTCAGAGTAAGTAGTTGAGCAGTATTTAACAATTTATTATTCCTCCTCTCAAAAAACATACGGGGGGGGGGGAGGGCGGTGGAGTGATAGCACAGCAAGTAGGGCATTTGCCTTGCATGCAGCCAACCTGGGTTCGATTCCCAGCATCCCATGTGGTCCCCTGAGCACCGCCAGGAATGATTCCCGAGTGCATGAGCCAGGAGTAACCGCTGTGCATCACCGGGTATGACCCAAAAGCAAAAAAAAAAAAAAAAAAAAGAGCAAAAATCATACCAGAAATTTCCTGGTGCAATCCCAGATCCTAAGTCCAGACCTGTTGTTCAAAACATCAAGTTTTTCCTTCACCCTCCTGATCTTCTGCTCATCTCTATTCATGCCAGTTCCTCAAAGCCAGAGACTTGCAGCATCTGGTGGCAGCACCCCCCAACCACCTCGTCATCTGGATGGCTCCCCACCCATGCCCCACTCTTGCCTCCATCTCCTCATTCCCCTGCCCCACTCCCTACCACCCCATCACTCTTCTCAGAGCCTGTGTGGAAATGCTTCAGGTACAAGGAAGCTGCTCTTGAGCAGGGCACAGTCTGGGGAATGCAAGATTTGTGAAACTTTGGATGATAAAGAAACCCAGACTTCAGGGACAGGTTGAATTAGGGGTCCTATAGGGGCCATTCACATAGCCAACAAAAGGAGCACAGGGAGGGAGAGAGAGAAAACTAAGCTGGTCACCTAAGCAACACCACTGACCATTCTCAGGACTCAGACTCTGCGCTGAGTGACCTGCTTTTGCCCACCCCTTACCAGGAGCCCCGGAAGGACTGAGATTTGCTTCATTTCCTGGCTGGACTGATTTTCTCCAGGGCCTCTGTTCTTTCCCTAGGGCTATGAATGACTCCTATCAAAACCTTCCCAAGATCAACCAGCAGCGACCTGGGTCCAAGCCCGTGACGGGGAAGGCGGGGGACCCTAAACGCCCCCAAAAGGAGCATCCGAAAGAGGTGAGGCTTTGCTTGCACACCTGTCCATGATATATGGGCTGCTGAGACGTTCCAGGAAAAAGTCACATTTATTTTGGAGGACACTGGGGGGAGAGTAGGAGGAGGGGTTGGTTGGGGTATTTTTTGAAATTTTGAGCCACACCCAGTGGTTTTTTGAAGCTACTCTTGGTTCTGTGCTCTGGAGTGAGTCCTGGAAATCTGAACTGGGCTCACAGCCATTGTGGTTCCCTGCAAGGCAAGGACTGGCCCTACCCCATAACTCCCATGCAGGACCTTTTAAATTTTATTGTTTATTTTTATAGCTCAGGGATTTTATTAAATTATAGTTTTGCAACATGACATTAGGCTGACACCTAAGGATAGTAGATACACGGAACAGATAGATTGTTCCATAGCTGGAAGCCTGCCTCGTGAGCAAAGGGGAGAAGGCAGCTGGAATACAGAATGGATCGCTAAGAAAAAGATGGCTGGAGGAATCGGTCAGGATAGGAGATGTGTGCAGAAAGTGGATAAAGGATTAAACATGGTAACCTCTCAAGGTCTGTATTGTAAACCATAATGCCCAAAAGTAGAGAGAGATTATGGGGAATCATGTCTGCCATGGAAGCAGGGGGAGGGTTGGAAAGAGGGATATTGGTGGTGGGGAATGTGCACTGGTGGAGGGATGGGTGTTTGATCATTGTGTAATTGCAACCCAAACATGAAAGCTTGTAACTATCTCATGGTGATTCAATAAAATTTTTTAAAAATCAAAATAAATAAATAAATTATAGTTTTGCTATCCCCCTATTTCCCCTTGGCTTCTTCACTTGGCAGGGAGCAGAGGACGCCCTGGTTTCCAAGCTTCTCACTGGGGAGCTGAGCCTGGGGAGGGACACCCAGGCCTGCTCCATAGAGCAGAGGGACTGGCTGCTGTCATGCTTGGTCCTCTCCCTTGAGGTGACAGGTAGAGCTGTCCCCAAGCACCAGCTTCCTAAGTGTAGCCAGGCTGATCCTAGGTACAGCTGACCCTCAGCATCTCCCCAGTGATTTCCCCCAAGTGCCATGGCTGGTCCCCACCACAGACGTCCAGACTGGGCTTTCTGAGAGGCAGGAGATGGCAGCCAGATGGCAGTGAACCTCAGCCTCTGGTTCCCGAGAGCAGTACCATAAGGCCCCATGTTAGGATAAGATGCAGCCAAAGGAAAGGGGGAGAACTGAGGAAATGATGGGAAGGAAGAAAAGAGATAGAAAGGAAGGATCCGAGGGTTAGGTGCCAATGCATAGCAGGAAGGCCATTTGCCTTGCTGGGTTCAATCCCCCACAACCCAGATGGTCCCCAGCACCACCAGGAATAAGCCCTGAATGTGGAGTCAGGAGGAAGCTCTGAGCATCTCAAGGTGTGGCCCAAAAACGGAAAGAAAAAGAAAAGAATGAAGGAAGGAAGGAAGGAAGGAAGGAAGGAAGGAAGGAAGGGAGGGAGGGAGGGAGGGAGGGAGGGAGGGAGGGAGGGGGAGAGAAGAAGGAAGGAAGGAAGAAAGAAAGAAAGAAAGAAAGAAAGAAAGAAAGAAAGAAAGAAAGAGGAAGAAAGAGGGAGGAAGGAAGGAAGGAAGGAAGGAAGGAAGGAAGGAAGGAAGGAAGAAGGGAGGAAGGGAGGGAGGAAGGGAGGGAGCGAGGGAGGAAGAGGAGGAAAGGAGGGAGGGAGGGACGAGGGAAGAAGGGAGGGAGGAGGGAGAGAGGGGGGAGGAGGAAAGGAGGGAGGGAGGGAGGAAAGGAGGAGTTAAGAAGAGAGAGGAAAAAAATGAGGGAGTAGGGAAGAAGGGAGGAAGAAATGAAGGAAGGGAAAGAGGGAGGAAGGAAAGAAGGGAGGGAGGGAGGGAGGGAGGGAGGGAGGGAGGGAGGGAGGGAGGGAGAGAAGAAGGGAAGGAGGAAGGAAGAAGGGAGGGAGGAAGGAAGAAGGGAGGGAGGAAGGGAGGGAGGGAAGAGGGAAGGAAGGAAGGAAGGAAGGAAGGAAGGAAGGAAGGAAGGAAGGAAGGAAGGAAGGAAGGAAATTCAGCCTAGAGCAGCTCCTCCCAGGGCAGCCAGTCTCTCGCAGCAACCTCTGGTCCTTCCAGGGCAGGTGCTGCCACCTCCTGCTCTGTCTACACACAAGAGGCCCAGTAGCTCCTGGGCTACCCACTGCTGGATGGAATCCAGCATCTACTGTGCGATGATGGAAAAACAGGGACCCCCAGTGCCTCCAAGCGCCCCTCACAGCTGACTTCCACCGCCCCGCCCTTTCTCCAGGAGGGTGTCAACAACACGCCAGTGGAGAGTGCAGACTTCGGCTTGTCTGTGTCAGGAATCAGCAAGGGTGCCCGTGAGGAAACTAGCCGAGGACACAGGGTGAGTGCCACTCTGAGGCTAAAGGAGAGAGGAGAGCTGCCCCTCTCTACCCCTCTCTGCCCTGCGCCCCTCCTCTCCCCACCTTCCCCTCTCCAGCCTTCTCCCTTCCTCTCTCCTCCTCTCTTCTCTCTTCCTCCTCTTTTCTCCCCTCCTCTCTTCCCCCTCTTCCCTACCCATCCTATCCTACCCCTTCATTCCCCTCTCCCATCTCTTCCTTCCTTCGTGCCCCTTGCCCTCCCCTTTCCTCTTCTTTCCTCCTCCCCTTTCCCTCCTTCCTCTCTCCTTCCCTTCCTTCCCATACCCTCCCCTTCCCTCCTCTCCCCTTCCCACAACCTCTGCTGATGAGTTTTTGCTCAGGTACCAGGAAAGTGACTCTTTGAAAGAGTCTGTCTATAAAATTTTCCTTCTAGGAACTGAAGAGATAATATAATGGGGTAGGGCACTTGTCTTTTACACGGCTGACTGGATTCAGTCCCCAACACCCCATATGATCCCCTGAGCCCCACAATGAGTAACCACTGAGTTCAGAGCCAGAGTAAACCCTGAGTACTTTGGGGTGTGACATTATTATTATTATATTATTATATTATTATATTATATTATTATATTATATTATTATATTATTATATATTCTTCGTCAACGCTCAAGAATCAGAGACGCTATCTCATTTGCCAAGACATCAAAAATCAGATGGGCTGGACATGTAATGAGGTTTACAGACAACCGCTGGACTAGAGCCATTACTGATTGGATTCCACGAGACATCAAAAGATCACGTGGACGCCCACCTATAAGATGGTCAGACTTCTTTGTCAAGACCCTAAATGATCGGTTTGAGGCTCTACATGTTCCTAAAACGAACAGATACCATTGGGCTACGCTAGCACGCAACCGGGATGAATGGAGACGTTACTGGCACCCGCTCGAATAAATCGATGAATAACGGGGATTAAGTGATTAAGTGATTAAGTGATTATTATTATTATTATTATTAATCACTGTCACTGTCATCCCGTTGGTCATCAAATTACTCGAGTGGGCACCAGTAACACCACTATTCCTCCCAGCTAGAGATTTTAGCAGTCTTTTCCCAACAATTGGAGGCTCTTTTAGGGTCAGGGGAATGAGACCTATTGTCGTTACTGTTTTTGGCATATTGAATACGCCATGATGAGCTTACTAGGCTCTGCCCGTGTGGGCGGGATACTCTCGGTAGCTTGCTGAGCTCTCTGAGAGGCATAAATGGGTAGGAAGTGTCTTATAATATGCTGCGTGGTCCAGAAAGCGGCCTGGAATGTGGCAGTGGCTACGCAGTGGTAGTCAGCTGCCAGGGCTGGGTCCCTTGGGTTGGGGAGGGCTCTCACCCACCCCACAGCCCGGCACAGTGTCTGGTGGTGGCACGGTTCTGGGAGCCTCCTTTTATATTCCCGTTTGGGAGAAGCATCTGTGAGTTCTGGAGGGTGGCCGGTGAGGAGATTATCTGGCACCAGCAGGGTGTGGCTTATGGGTGTGATCCCTGAGTCACTGGAGACTGGGGGAAACAGGCAGAGGATCTCTGTTCAGGTCCCGCTGAGTCCAGAGTCCAAGGTCACAAAGTTCTGCATTATCTGGGTTCCGTGGGACTTCATTCTTGCGTGAGGCTCTGCCTGAGCATCCGGAAATCAGCCTGGAGCGTGGCAGTGGTTGGGCAGTGGAGGTCAGCCTCCAGGGCCTGGGTCCCTTGGGGTGGGAGTGGGGGAGCTCTCACCTGCCCCACAGCCTGGCATGGAGTCCCATTATTAATCGAAATAAATAAATAAATGAAAAAATCTGGTAGCTTGAGGTGAGATCCCACCGCCTACATTCCACGTCCGAAGGGCTGTTCAAAGGCAACCTCAGCCAAGGGCGCAGCATGCCCCAGGCACCCTGGCAGTGTGGTCATCCTATTGCTCTTTGCACCTGGCTTCCCCGCCCCCTCCCACTGCTAGGAAAGATGAGGGCATCGGATACAGTGTGGAAGTGGAAATCAGGGATAACATTATGGCTTCTGAGTCACTTGTTTGCTCTGTGGCCCCAGTGCATCACTTAGCTTCTCTGGATGCTGTTTCCCCACTCTCCCCTTCTTCCCTCCGAGCAGATGTGTTAGAAGGATTGGAAATAGCCCTCACATAGGATGCTGACAAATGTTTTGTGCCAGGCGCTCCACTGTGCAGTGAATGTCTGCCTGTTAGGGACTATATTGGAAATATGGTTTCCACCTGTGGGCCGAGGGGTCCTACTGGGCGAAGTGGTTTCCTAAGGACCAGAGCCCATTGTGGAAGCAGACAAACAGGGAAGAAGTGGGTCTGTGTCTCGAACCAAAAGATGAGTGACTGTTTTTAATCAAATCAACTTCATTCTAAAAAAAGTTATGTACAGCTTCTAGGGTTTGTTTTGATTTGTGTTTTTGAGGGGGTTGGGGTCACATCCAGCTGTGCTCAGGGGTTATTCCATACTCCGGACTCAAGGGTGACTCCTGGTGATGCTCAGGGAATCATGCTTGGTGCCAGGGACTGAACTCAGATTGGCTATCGACCCTTCACAACTTTTCTGTAGAGTGCCTCAACCTGAGGGGAAAAGAAGCATCTTCTTCATTGTTGCTGCATGTCTTTTGTTCTGAAACTTCTTTTAAGTTTGTCCACATGCCGAAGGACATAAATGTGTCTGGCTTTAATGAGGCTGAAAGTATTGTGGTGGGTCGGTCTCTCGTGCTGAGAGCTTGTAAATAACTAACGGTCCTCCTTTTCAGGGACAAATCATTGACTTCAGGGCGCTGCTCACAGACGCCATCAAAGGAGCAAGCAGTGAACTTGACCTGAACAGCTTCAACTATAACCCTGACCCCTCGGTAAGTGACCAGGAGGAGCCAGACTCCTTGCAAATCTGCTTCTATCCCAGCGCCAACATTGGCAACGAGATGTTGAGTCCAGAGAGACCCAGAGAGTGAGTGAATGGTCACAGCTGGCCCCACCCTCTGTGTCACTGAGCCCCAAGACCAGAGTTCCTCAAGAGAGGAAGCGATGCTGTGATAATGCTAGTACCCCCCTCTCCACTTGTCTCCTTTCTCAGGAGCGGCTGCTGAAGCCTCTGAGTGCATTTATTGGCATGAACAGTGAGATGCGAGAACTGGCAGCCGTGGTGAGCCGGGTAAGATCTGCTGTTCAATTCACAAATTTACGGGCGCGACTGGGGCTCCCGGAGCACTGCGGGCTGCTGCTTTTATTAATAGCAATAAATATGATCATTTATTTATAAAGTAGCCCCACTTGCAGAGGCACTCAGATTGTTTAGAGGCACAATAATGCATGATAAATAAATGATAGAATCATGAAATTGCAATATAAAAAGCCCGCCATCACCAGAGAGGCTGGAGAAATACGAAAGGGAAAAAGATTTAGAAAGGAAGGGGCAGGTGAAGGGTGGGTGAGCAGTGAGAGCCGGGTGTTGGGGGAAGAGAGTCGGTCGGTCGCCTGACGCTGGCTCCCATGGGCCAGGAGGAGGGAAATGTCCAGGAAACACGGGAACTCATTTCCAGTCAGGGACTTGCCCAGCTCGACTCCCCCAGGCTCCAGAGGCAGTGGAGGCCAGTGGCTAGCGATAGAACTGCTTGACTGGATTTGATATCTAGAACCACTTTCTTATGGAATTGTGACTTTGGGATGCTTCCATGGAAAAAGAAAACATCCTGGGCTAGGGGAGGCCATTCTGATCACTGGTGGCATCAGATTTCAGACTTGACTGAAACACAACTGGGGTTTACAGAGGTGTCTGAAAGGATGCAAAACGCACAGCTTCTCCTCTGAGGGGACTGCAAGGCTTTGGTACATGCCTGGGCTGTGGGGACTGGGGGCCACAAGGAGCAACCCCCACATGGTACCTGTCCACAGGATTTCCTTGTCCCAGGAGAGGTATTTGTGCCCAAGGGTGGGGTTGGAAACACTTAGGACACGAAGGAGGGAGCCATAAGCATGAGTGAAGAGGGGACGGGCGGAGTTCGGGCCCCACTGAGGAGCATGCCCAGGATGTGACAGAGCTTGTGCCATGCTTCAGAGAGAGCCTGGAAGATGTAAGGCGTGGCAGGCAGTGGCTGGCGAGGGAGCCAAGCTCTCCAGACAGGGCGCCATGCACGAGGATGACGACAAACTTGGGAAGGTCCCCACGGGGAGAGAGGGTCCCTGTGGGTTTGCAGCAGCTCATTCTGACGGCGGGACGGCGACTGTCTCTCAGCAAAGAGGACATGAAGACGAGGCTGTGAATTTATTGGCGGTGAATTTATTGGCGGTGAGAGAGGAAGCTGGACCAAGCCCGGCTGTGACAATTTTTTTTAGACTCATAGAAATCCTTTTTTTTTTTTTAACCCTCCTGCAGAAGTCTGACCTGTCTAGCAATGACAGAGTTGTAGAGTTGGAAGTGATCCCACCTTCAGTCTTTGCTACTGTCACCTGGGGGGCTCTTAGCTGTCTCTGCTTGAATGCCTCCAGGGTCAGGGAACTCTACCACCACGGAGGACTTGTGCTGGATGTAAGGAGGAATTTGCAATCAGGAAATGAAAATGTAGGGAGACTTCAGTGTCCATTCTGGAAGTGGACGACAAGTCTGGTTCACTATATGTGGGTGCTCTGGATCTCAAGGATATGAAGCCCCTTCCCATAGGAGGGAGGTGGCCTTGAGTAGTCGCAAGTGGCCAGCCTGCAGGTCTGGGCTTCCGGGCAAGTGGTATCTCTTGAGATGGCTATTGTTTGTTTATTTATTGCACCTTTCCCATCCCTTCCCTTTCATATTGTTATGACAAGAGTGTGCACATTTTCACTGTGGGCCCACACTAGATAAAATCCCGCTGCAGCCTTGGGGAGCCCATGCAACAGAGCTTCCCTGACCCCCTCAGCATGAGTGGGAGCTTGGTGCCAGCAAGGAAAGCGCTTTCCACAGAGCTCTCCTGGGCACGCTCCCAAGGGATGAGCAAATAGAGGCCTTCCTCTGTCCTCCCAGCCAGGAGCAGTTCACAGATTTTCAAACTCATGGGCAAAAGTACTTCTATGGATTCTCCAACAGAACTTGTTATCTATGGCGGAGGGCACTGGGGAACTAGGGAACAGGAGTGTTTCATGTGTCACTGGCATCTCAAAATATATATATTTATTTAGGGTGGGTAGGGCACTTGCCTTGAATGGGGCCAACCTGGGCTCTAGCCTTAGCCTTGGCACCCCATATTGTTCCCCAAACCCTGCCAAGAGTGAACCCTGAGCAGAGCCAGGAGTAAGCCCTGAACAATACCCAATGTGGCCCCAAAATAAATAAATAATACACACACACATATATATACATACATATATATGTATATAAAACCATGTTCATATAGTTTTGTCTTTGTTTATGTGGCTTGGGTTCTTGGGTCAAACCTGATGGTAGTCAAGGGGTTAGTCCTGGCTCTGTGCTCAGGGATCACTTCTGGTAGAGCTCAGGAGACCCTATGAGATGCATGGACATGGCTGACCCAAGGATGGAACTTGGGTCAGCTGTGTGTATGGCAAGCACCCTACCTGCTCTGCTATAGCTCTGGTGCCTTAGTTTTTGTCCTTTTGCATTGGGGGCTTGGGGATAGACTCCAGGGAGTCATATATGCAAAGCATGGGCTCTACAACTGAGCTATACTCCCATCCACTAACTATTAAAAATTAAGTGAATATAAAAATAGTTTCTAGATTGTTCTGTAGCCATTCACAATGACTTTGGAAAGGAGGATTAAAATATATATACATACATGTGTCTGAGTATATGAAACCCTCTAGGCATTCAGTTTGCCTGGAACAGCTACTGCCGAGACAGGCCCCAGAGTGACTATTCGGAGCATCCTGTGAAATTGAAGTTTGGAAAGTGTAAAGTGAGTTATTAGGAAATCCACCTTAATTGATTGCCCAGGATGGCTGCTGCAGGGCTCAACTACAAGGAGGGGAAACTGCGGTGTTTTGTTTTGCTTGGTTGTTGGCATCCTCGAATCTTGTAGAAGTGATTGCCCCTGCTGGAAGAAAGGAGCAATCACTAGGGAGAAAAGAGAAATTGGTTTTAGAGGAGCATTATCTCTCTTATGTAACAAATTAAGAAAGTGTTTGTGAGATCAAGGAGTAATAGAGGCCCAGGCATCAGCTAGGGGCAGCTTTGTCTTAGGAAGCTGGTGTCATTTGAAGGCACCTTCTGTGGCTTCTTCTTAAATCAGCGTGGTTGATTATTCACTGAGGACAGGTGTAGTCCATCACATGGAAATTTAGGAACTTTCCCCCCCAACCACCACAGCCCCCATGAAACCACCCATAGCATCAATAACTCTTTCAAAGAAAATCATGGAATATTTTCATGACATCCCTTTGGCAATTGAGTCCAAAATTATAATGTGTATGTAAGCATATATCTAATATGAAAAGTTTTATTACCAGCACTTTATGCCCTCTTGTAACTCAGCTATTCTGCTGGCTCCTGTGTTTATTACATCGGTGGAGGAAAACATTAGTTTTAACAAAATGATCAAACGTGCATTGCAGGACATTTATCTCCATAATCCAAACATAAAGTGGAATGACATTATTGGACTCAGTGCCGCCAAGCAGTTAGTCAAAGAAGCCGTTGTGTATCCTATAAGGGTAAGGCCGGGAGCCTCTGGGGGGGCATTTCTGTTCATTACCCATTGAACAAGCTGTATGTCATCGACCCAACAGGGAGAGAAGGACAGGGTGATGTTCTGTCCACCTGTCGTCATTGCACCTGTGCCACAATACTGGAATATTGAATAGTCCTCTGAAGTCTAGGAGATCTGAAAACATGTCCCATTAGTTCAAGGCAGGTTTCTGATCTAAGTGGTCATTGAAGCTCAAAGACTCTAGTAGAGGTGATTTGACAGTATAGAGTCAAGTCAGCTTGCTTCAAAATTGTACATTTTATTTGCGAGGATTTCATACCCAGCAGTGCTCATGGACTTACTCTTCATTCAGTGCTTGGGGGTTCTCTCTTGGTGGTTCTCAGGGATCCCTCTGATGCCAGGGATTGGACCTTGGGGTCCTGCACACAAAGCATGTGCTCCAGCCCAGTGAACTCTCTCCCTGGCCCCTAGTGATAGAAGCCCTCCATCCCCACCCCTGCCAGAGATGGCCTCTTGCTTCATTGCCATAGGTCCTTCTTCTTTGTGGAAGGGGCTGAGCTTGTGACTGTTTGTAGACACTGGACAGCTCCTTCCAGGGCGGCAGCTATGGCCCCATCTCTTTGTCATTCCTTACAGTCTCTGTACTGAGTGGTTCACTGAATAGGTAGAAAGTGGGAAAACCAGTCCCTTCCAGGTGATCAGCTTGTCTCCTCACTCCCCACCCTGCTCAGATTAGCCATCAGCAATGATGTATTTGTTTGCAGTTGAGCCAGCGAATTCCTTTTGCATGTAATATTATCTGGGCTCCCTTGGCCAGGGTGACTGGAGAGGGTGGAGAAGCCGGGACAGCTAGAAGAAGCAGGACCACTGGGATCTCCTCCAGCAGGCAAGGCTCATCTTGGTCACACGGTCCCAGAGACCTCAAGGAGCAGCACAGGTCCCATCTGTGAATATTTCCCATTTTACTTTTCATACTTGGAAATGTGCCATTGGCCAGTGCCACAAGGCTCTGAATCAGATTGATTGGTGGAGATCTTCAATAGAAGAAGGCACAAAACTTGTGGCCTTCTCCTGTCATACCCTGCAGTCAGGGTGTCACATTTATTTCATAAATAATCTCTTCTCACCACCGAGCCCATGCAGACTCTGAGTTTTGGATACATTTATTCCAAGGAGAAAGTGCAATTTCTTCTTGTTGTTGTTATAGTTCTTAAAACACATGCCTCGATTTATCATTAGTTTATAATACTACAAAATTTGGAGGGTCCAGCTCCACCCCTGTCTATCTGTGTAAGTTTCACTGCACCTACCACTGAGGTTCTAGTGCCATAACTAACCAAAGCCCCACCTCTACCCATTCCTACCACCTTCCTCTGCTTTTCCTCAATGTAATATGGCAATTTCCATATTGTTTACACTGTGTCTTAAGATTCTTTTTGTTGTGATTTGCCATTTGGTTATTTATACTCCACCTATGAAAATGATCTCCCTATGTTCAGACACTGGGATGCATCTTATGTTTAGGATCAGTAGAAACTGACTCCCCATTTCTTTGGGGTGGATCCTTAGTCCAAGACATCCAGAGCAGACAGTACATCTCATTGAAGCTCTCTGGATGGGCTATCCCCACAGTACAAGTTCTACATATGAGATGGCACCAAGATTTACAATCACGAGCAAGAAATTAATCACTGTCACTGTCACTGTCCTCTCGTTGTTCATCGATTTGCTCAAGCGGGCCCAGTAACATTGTGAGACTTGTTGTTACTGTGTTTGGCATATCAAATATGCCACAGGGAGCTTGCCAGGCTCTGCCGTGCAGTTCAGATACTCTCAGTAGCTTTCCGGGATCTCCGAGAGGGGCAAGAAATTAATAGCTAGTTCAAATATTTTACTTATTCCCCTTCTCTCTTGCTCTCTACTGATCCTACAAGACCTCCCCTCCCCCACTCCCAATTGAATTTTATCTTGGTGCCCAAACATGCTCTGTCTGGATTCAGAATCTCTCAGCGCATTTAGCATGGAACGTTCCCACTTTCTAAAAGCAGCTTCACCACAGTTTGTGATTTATTCAAGTGCATCTTTATCTAGTGACTATCTTACAGTTTATCTCTACTTTATGACATTCAGAAGCTCCCCAGATGCAGTGCATAGAGAACTCAGGGGCAATGGTGTTGTATGGGATGGAAGAAATTACCACTGTGATATAGAAGAGAAGTATTTTCCTTTCTTTACAAAACAAAAAGAAAGTGGCTCTCAAGGGCTAGAAACATAGCACAGAACTGCACTGCATGCAGGAGACCCTGGTTTGATCCCTGGCACCACATATGATTCCTAGAGCATGACCAGGGGTCACTCCTGAGCACAGGACTAGAAAAAGTCCCTGAACAAGGGAGAGTGTAGCTTACCCCACACATAAAGCAAATAAGAGTTCTCTTAAAGAGCTCCAATAATTGACTCATTCCTATAGAATGTGAGAGAAGTTAGGATAAATAAGAACTATATAGGGGCAGCTAGAGATGAGAGAGAGAGAGAGAGAGAGAGAGAGAGAGAGAGAGAGAGATCAGGAGTAGCATAAATGAGTGTAGATGTTGCAAGTGGAAACTCCGGGTTCAACTCTTAGCCCTGCAGGGTTCCCCAGACACCTAGTGGGAAGGGCCACCCAGCACACCCAGGAAGCTGACCCTCTGAGAGGTGCTGTCTTCTCTTTGACTTTGCTGGGGACATGTCAGTTTGTACGAAGGGAGGACTGAGTGAATCTCACCTTTCTTCCTTGTCCCTGTAGTACCCCCAGCTCTTCACAGGGATTCTCTACCCTTGGAAAGGACTGCTGCTCTACGGCCCTCCAGGTAAAGGGGTCTCTCTGTTTTGGTCTTGGTGTTGGGGGTGATGATAAAAGAGGGTAAGGTGCCCTCATGAACCCTAACTCTGGGACTGGAGTTCATGAGTCTGCCTACTCTTTTTTTGCGGGGGTACCTGGTTTAATATGGGAGTCAAGATGTGTTTGAGGGTCGCTTACCCTGTGGGTAATTACACCCATGTCTCCAGGTACAGGAAAGACTCTACTGGCCAAAGCAGTGGCCACCGAGTGCAAGACCACCTTCTTTAACATTTCTGCCTCCACCATTGTCAGCAAGTGGAGAGGGGACTCAGAAAAACTTGTTCGGGTAGGTCTTCTGAGATCTGGTGTTTACAAAGACAGTTCAGCTGGGGAAGTGGTTCACCCCACTTCCTCTACTAAAGTAGAGGGCTTTACCTGCACATGTGACACCCTGGGTTACATCTCTAGCACCTCCAAAATAAATATAAAATTATTTACATATGTAAATAAGCAAAGTGAATAAACAAATAAAACACAGTGCAATAGGTCCTGGCAGACAACAGTGACCGAGAATGCAAAATGATGTTAGAACTTAGTAGTCTGTAAGTGACGTGTGTTAGATTTTACCCTGGAGCTTGCTTACCCAAAGTCCAGGAAGTGGGTTGACTACTCCCGGTGGTTATATTTCTACGCCCTGCCTTCAGCAAAATTCTGTCTCCTTTCCTTTGGGAATCTGACCAGCTACCCAAGCTTTGACTCATGCAAGTCAGGTAAGGGAAACAGGACAAAAATCTCTTCAAAGGTCTATTTTCCTTCAGTCTAGAAGCATCTAGTAGTAAGCAAATGCCATATATTTGGTTGTTATTAAAAGACTGTGGCTGTTTGCTATGATGGCTTTGCTTGCAGAATCTATGGGACAACCAAGAAATTTTAAACTTTATTGCTCTTCCAGAGCCTCTAGGCAAGTTTTCTGCCACAGTGCCCACAGCCTATGGGATTTATTTTTTCTTTAAGAGATTGCTTCCATGTTTACACTCTCACCTTCAGAGCCTCTGGCATATTTTATATGATAAAACTAGACAGTATCTTCCAGTCACCTTATGACAATACCTGTTCCTGATTTATGCTTCAGTGAGAGATGGGTCCTTCTCAGAAATCCTCTTAAACTATTGCACTCTGTAGAATGACTGATAAGTAATCAATACTAAGTGAATATAAATATTATATATTTTCTGAAAAGGAGTGACTCTGAAATATTATGCTCAATTACAGTCCCTTGGATGACTCATTTTCAAAGTATTCGACCTATTAGGAGGTCAGAATATTTTTAAAGGATCAATTTACCTAAGGAAGCCTATTATTTAGGATTTTGATGTTGTCCTCAAGATGTTTCAAATGTGTACACTTTTTTAAATGCTTCTCATTCCTTCAAGATTGTATCTGGTGGGAATCTTCATTGACTTCTTTTATTTCTTTGTTTTCCGTCTTGTGCCTGACTCAGTAGCAGGGAAGATGGGGTTTGCATTTAGCTGCTTTTAACTTTGTGGGCTTTTGTCAGCAAGTGTTCAATGAGCTGAAATCCAGCTAAAGGAAATTTTTATTATCCTGCGGCCATTTTTGTAGGCATGCCATTTCTTCCTTCTGAGCAACAACAAAATGCTGACAAGTCACTGTCCCAGTCCACTTAGATTCACTGACCATCATGGAGAGTGGTGAGGACACAGTAGCCCAAGACACTGAAAGATGCTTGAAGGAACATTTCATTATGTCTTTGGAGACAGGATTTGCCTGAGCATAAGACTATGTTCAGATAGTTTATAAAAGCTATTCTGGGGCTCACCCCTACCTCTGTGCTCAAGGATCACTTCTGGCAGGAGTGCCTGGGATCGAACTCAGGTTAGAAGCATGCAAGGCAAGTTCCCAGCCCTTGTAGTTTCCCTGTAGGGGCTGTACTCTCTCTCCAGTCTCTAAGGGAAACTGTGAACAGGACTTTGCATATACGATAGCCTAAAACTTTATTTTTTCAAGTGAAATCGATGGGTTGGAGGGAATGACATTGACAAATTCCCTGCCAACAGGGTTACACCAGCTTACATGCCCACCCATGTACGGGCATATCATTGCCTCTTACCCTGGCCAGCTCAGCATGGCACCTAAACCTTACAGATCTTTGCCAATCTGATAGAGAAATAAACATAGTGTTCAAATGGGCATTTCTTTAATTCTGACTGAATGTGAGCATCTTTTCATGGTTTTAGAAGATATATGTCTTCCTTCCTTCCTTCCCTCCTTCCTTCCCCCACTCCTTCCTTCCCCTCCCTCCCTCCCTCCCTCCCTCCCTCCCTTCCTTCCTTCCTTCCTTCCTTCCTTCCTTCCTTCCTTCCCTCCCTCTTTCCTCCCTCTTTCTTTCTTTCTTTCTTTCTTTCTTTCTTTCTTTCTTATTTTTGGGTAATACCCAGCTGTGCTTAGGGCTTATTCCTGGTTCTGAACTCAAGAATCAGTCCTGGTAGACTCAGGAGACCATATTGGATGCCCAGAATTGAACCCAGGTCATGAAAGGCAAGCAGACTACCCACTGTATTATCACTTCCGCCCTAAAGTGTATTTTTTCTGTAAATTTTGTTTTTAATTTGGATATTTAAAAATCAATTTAAGAGGAAAAGAATAACCCCTTCTAACCTTGAGGGTTCTCATTGCCTATTCCAGAAAAGACTTTATTTTCTCTTATATTATTTTCTCCTCCTTTTTTGAGCTCTTGGAAAGAGCTCACCTGGAAAATCTTGGCCAAAGCTTCTTATTGTGAAGCTTTCTGATAAAGCAAGTCCTTCAGGACCTTCCCCTAAATCAGAGAAGCTTTTCTCCCATTTCTTTCTCCTCTGTTTCAATTAAAGAGTTATTTATAGGGAACCCTTGGGTTATGTTCTTTCCTCCCCTCCTAATGTTCATGCCTCTTAGGAGTTGATGCTATTGAATCGCTGAGTGGTCTCCTTAGCAAATGCACGCACCTGTTGGTACTTATTTATCCCCACACTCCCCCACCCCATCCAACTGTATGCCTTATTTTCTTCCAAGTACTTTTGAAACTTTTAGACTAATGAGTCTAGAGCACTTACCTAGGATTCTATATATTCTCTGGCAGGGGAAAGAGCAATGAATCTCAGTTTGGAGACAAAGTTCCCAGATCTAGTGCTCCTTTTGTCAGTCCAATATCCATTTCCCACTGGGTAGCTTGCTGCTGTTGCAAGCAACCTTAACTTCAGGTAGTTTTGTCATTTGCCTCCTATGAGAGGGTTGTGAGCACTGTGTCTTTTTTTTGAAGGGGGGAGGCGGGCATACCTGGTGGTGCTTAGGGCTTACTCCTGGATCTGTGCTCAGGGATCACTTCTGGTGGGCTCAGGGGACCATATGGGGTGTTGAGGAGCAAGCCCAGATGGATTGCATGCAAGACAAGCACCCTGCCTGTTTTACTCCCTCTCCAACCCCTGAATCTTAAAGGCATTTGTAAAGATGTTCCCAGCACTGACTGTTCTTTCAGCTCATCAGGCTGAGCCAATGGTCTTGGCCAAATGAAATGGTATCCTGGAAAAGGTCTTTGCTTGAGCACCAGCATGGAGGCACCACACACACAAGCAGTGAGGAAGAGGGTGTGCCCTTGCAGAGACACGGAGACCCGCCAGGAAGAGCCTGTTACTCCTCCTGCAAACCACACCTGGCTTTTGTCTCCTCCCTCCCCTTCCCCTGTTATTTGTTCTGGGATGCTTTGCTAGTGCTAAGTGACACAGAGAATAAATCCCCTACGCCTATTAAAGAACCTCTATCTTTTCTAAATCTCTACTGCTTTCTCTGATCAACCAGCGAAGACTTGTATATGGTGCTCAAGAGATCAGTTTGGGGGTTAAGGAAAAAAAGGCTTAGTTTTTTCTACTCTTTTCATCACCGCCACATTTCCCTTTAGAGCACTTTATTTTGTTTTTATATGTCTGTTCTCTTTTGCTGTTTGCGTTCCTGTTCTTGTTCTGTCTATAATATTTTATTCTGGAATGAAGCAATGTATTCAATTGGGAATTGCTTCAGAGTATCAAAGACAACCGAACAACAGTATTGGGGGAAGGGAGCTTCACAGAATCATTTGGGGACCAGAGAGAGGCAAGATTCTCCCACCTTGTTTTCCATGACTGGACACCCCCATCTTTCTCCTGTGAATACATCCACTTGTGGATACTCCTCTCATTGTCCCTAAGAGTAAAGGGAGCACCATCAAATGATTTTACACCCCCATAGCTTTGGGTACACAGAGACCTGTTATTGGTGGGGGTCCTCACTCTCCGTGGCAGCCCAGGAACTGAGTTCAATCTTAAATACTCTAGCGTATGGTTAGTAACCTTGAGCTAATCCTTTCCTCTCTCTGGATCTATGTTTATCGAGGGGTGGGGCGGTGAAGGAAATGGGAATAATTGGACCACCCAGCCCACTTGGGGGATGTTGGGAGGGGAAATGTAGTAATGTTAAAGTTATCACAGAAACAGTGCAGTGTAGATGCTGCATATTGATTGCAGATGCTGTTAGCGATTAGTCTCTGGAGCCTCTGAAAACTTCTCTTGATCAGGGCATCTGAGCATGTGCTTGTCTTCCTCCCATAGGTGTTATTTGAACTCGCCCGCTACCATGCCCCCTCCACCATCTTCCTGGACGAGCTGGAGTCGGTGATGAGCCAGAGGGGCACCGCTCCCGGGTAACAGGGCTTGCTGGTTGTTCGGTTGCATCAGTCATCACTGTTCCCCTTGTGTGTGTGTTTGATGGTCGGAAGCCCATCGACATTTACCAGCAGAACGAGCCTATTAATAAGCCCACAACTTTTTTTGCAGACACACGGAAAGGTCTTTAAATTAGATCCTGTTAACTGAATAGCTGCTTTGAGTAGTTTTATCGCCAGAGGAAGTGTTGGCCATGGCTCCCACCTTCCCCACAGGGCGGCTGCCAGGCCACCAGCCCCTCAGCCCAGGCGGCCCGCACCAGGCTGCAGCCTCGGAATAGCTGCCCTGACCACAGCTGCTGGAGCCAGACGGGCGGCCTGTGGGCAGCAGGGCCACAGCGGCCATGTCCCAGGGGGCCGTCTCTGCCTCTTGCCAAGGTGTGAGAGGCCAAGAAGGCTGCTGCATCTCAGAGACATTGGGCTGGGGGTCAGCCTGTCCACATCACTTGTCACCTATGTTTGTCTCTGAAGAGTTGGTGTCCACACAAATGTTCTCAGCAGGAAAGAACAGGCCTCAGAGTGTAAGGAACTGTAGGATTGTGTGTGTGTGTGTGTGCTGGTGTACATGTGCTGTTGTGTGTGTGACTATGTGCGTATCTGTGTAGGTGTATGTTTATGTATATGTGTTTGTGAGTGTGTGAATGTGTGTCTGTGTATGAGTGTGGGAGTCTATGTGTGTGTTGCTGTTTATTTGTATGTATATTTGTGTATGTGTTTGAGTGGGTCTCTGTGTGTGTCTATGTGTGTGAATGCCTTTCATAGTGGTCTGTCTCTTTGAAACCTTACTAAACTTTGTCCCCTGGCTTAAAAGATAACAAAAACCAGGTCTCTGAGTAGCTTCAACACAGCTGCATTCATTAATGACTTCTAATGATCTGTCACCAAGGCAATACTAGTAGTAATAAAAAGCAAATAATTCACTGTTGGAAGTTTAACTAGAGTATAATTTATGAAATTGTAATCACTAAAAACATTTTCCCAGCAGGGACAAAAGCACCATCCAGATGCACCCACATTGTGTGGGAGTCACACCAGTGATTAAAAAGGGACAATTTGGGGGTGGGGATGTGACTCAGCAGTGGAGTGCATGCCTTGATCCCTGGAACTGCACAAAGGAAGGAGGGAAGGGATGAGAGAAAATAAAGAGAGAAGGAGAAGGGAGGGAGGAAAAATAAAGGGAAAGGGGAGAGAGAGGGGTGAGCAAAGGAGGGAGAAAAGAAATGAGCAGAGGAGGAAAAGAAAAAGAAAGGAAGGAAGGAAAGTGGAAGGAAGGAAAGCAGGATAGAGGCAGTACAATTTCCACAGCTTCATGTGTGTTGGGCACAAGCTTAGCACTCTTTCCCTCTAAACAGGCTCCCCTGAGAAGCCCCCAGCCGGGGACCCAGCACAGCACCTTGTTGGTCATCCTTTGGCACAGACCACATGCCCTGACCTTATGGGTTCCTCCTTCTGTGTGGCCGAACTCTGTCCCCAGGCTGGGGATGGGCTAACCAGGGAAACCGAGGCATGAGTGGACATGCTGCAGGGGTTTGGACCTTTATGTTGCCTCATCTGAACTAAAACTCTAAAACCTTCAAAGGTCAGGGGCTTAGGACGGATGCTTGAAAGACACCTCTGGCCATTTTGTGGTAAATGAAGACACTGGCTAGAGACTGTCCTCTCTCCCAGGGAAGGCTGAGCTCGCCTCAAATGCCACTCATCAGTGTTGGTCTGCACCACACATGGGGGTAGATGAGGCATCCAGTGCCTGTCACCCAGGAAGGGGGCGTTTGTCCTTTGGACTTTGTGCCTATTTGGGATCCTGCACCATCACAGAGGCCAAGATGCGGCTCTCAGGAGAATCCCTTCTGGTCTTCCAGGGGCGAGCATGAAGGGAGCCTGCGGATGAAGACTGAGCTGCTGGTGCAGATGGACGGGCTGGCTCGCTCGGAAGACCTGGTGTTTGTCTTGGCAGCCTCCAACCTGCCATGGTAAGAGAGCTGGGAAGTAGAATGAGAACCACTTCCACGAACCTTTAAATGCAGATGACAATGAGGCTACGTGTGATCTCTCCAGGACAAGCCTTGTTCTGTTCTGGCCTTGGAGGGTTCATCTGAAGTCTTTCTTGTCTAAGTGCTTAATCCTTACTCTCTCGACTGTGGAAAAGTCAGTCTTAAGTCCTAGAGATATAGAAAGGATGGGTAAGGCACTTGCCTTGCAAGTGGCCAAAACCTGCTTGGATTTCCCCCCAGCAACACGTGGTCCCCTGAGAACTGCTGGTAGGGACCCCTGGCCATAGACCTGGGAAAGTTCCAATTACCATCTGGTGTCACCTAAACCCACCCTTCTCTCTCAAAAAACCTGCCTTAATAGAAGGAACACAGGCTGAGTAAATACACATTGTTTATATATTCATTATATATTTATACTTTGATTAAAATATAACCCAACTAACCTGAATTTGATCCCCAGCACCCAGTATGGTACCATGAGCTCCTGGATTCCTCCCCTGCCCCCCAGGAGGGATCCCTGAATGCAGTGTCAGGAGAAAGTGCAGAGAGATCCCTGAATGCAGTGTCAGGAGGAAGTACAGAGAACTCCTTTGTTTGTGGAAGGAAGGAAAATGGAAGGAAAGAAAGCAAGAGTGAGAGAGAAAAATTTCCACATTTGCTCTTAGGTGTGGTCCCAAATCAAATTTTTTTTCTTTTTGGGTCACACCTGGTGATGCACAGGGTCACTCCTGGCTCATGCACTCAGGAATTACTCTTGGCAGTGCTCTGGGGACCATACTGGGAATTGAACCCGGGTCAGCAGCATGCAAGGCAAACATCCTACCCGCTGTGCTATCACTCCAGCCCCCAAACCAAAAATATTTTTTTTCTTGTTGGACACTTTGAATTTTAATTCAAATTATTTTTTAAGTTTTGTTTGTTCGTTGTCACACCCAGATATGCTCAGAGCTTACTCCTGACTCTGCACTCAGAGTTCCCTACTGATGGGCTTGGGAAACATATGGGATTCCAGAAATTGAACCTGGGTCAGATGCATGCAAAGCAAGTGCCCGACCCGCTGTTCTTTCTCTCCAGCCTAGATAATTTATTAAGTTTAAACCAGGATTTGGCACGGAATTCAAACCACCAAGATGCAAAGGACATCCTGGCAATAATGAATGTTTGGACTGTAACAGAATTAAAATGAAAGTTTTTCTTCTTCGTCTTCTTTTTTTTTTCAGTTAGGAGCGAAAATCTTTTCTTTAATGTTGCACAGCAAATGGGAAGCTAAATAATCTCTAATTGAAAACATAATCTACTCTCAGAGTCTTTTATTCAAATCATATCCCTGAGAGGGTAGAGAGCAATTCTAGGAGTGGGATTGGGAAATAAGAGAAGATGACTGGGGAAAAACAATGTCTGTTTGGAAAGTATATTTAAAAAATCATTATAATTCCTTCATGGCTATAAGAATATCTCCCCATACCTTCCTCCTCTTGAGCTGTAAGTAAGACGGGAGTTGGAAACGGATGTGTTGCTTTCCCGGGGGTCCCTTTTCTGGGGCTTACGAGCGTTTCGCCCACCCAAACCAGCATGAAGATTCAAGTGAAGACTTGAGACACCTCTCCATCAACTGCCCTGCCTCATTCATTGCTTTCATTTCTTTCTGTGTAATCCTCCTCCATTATTATAGTCTACGTAGTTATAGTGCTGTTGAAGTTGGTGGTGTCAGGGTTCAAAGGTACTGCAGCCTTTCTCTTCTCTGGACATGCCCACAACCCTGCACTGCTGCCTCTGGGTCCTCCTAGTCTTGTCCTTCTTTCCTTCCTTTCCGCACCTCATAGTCAATTGTTCTGTGATGCAAAGCTGAGTATCTGCCATTGTTCCATACCTTCTGTTCTCTTGTTTGGTCTCTATCCCATGGATGAGATTATCCCATTTTTGTCATTCCTGTGACTTACCTCACTCAGCATGGCAGCCTCCAGTTCCAGCGACAGGAAGCTTGCATGAGTTTATCTTTTTCTTACGTCTGTGTAGTATTTCATTATGCCTGCAGATCACAGCTTCTTTATTTTTTTTATTTTTTAAAAATCTTTTTATTTATTTATTTTTAAAAATTTTTTTTATTAGTGAAACACCATGAGGTACAGTTGTAGATTTACTATTTTTTGTGCTTGGGTTTCGATTATACAATGATCAGATACCCATCCCTCCACCAGTGCCCATTTTCTACCACCATGGATAATATCCCCCCCACCCCCATCCCCCATCCCCCCCTGCCTCTGTGGCAGGGCAATCCCCTGTGTTCTCTCTCTCCTTTTGGATGTTGTGGTCTGCAAAAGAGGCATTGAGTGGCAAACATGTTCAGTCCATAGTCTACTTTTGACATGCATCTCCCCTCCTGGGAGGATCCTCCTAACACCCTTTATTTGGTGCTCCCTTCTCTATCTGAACTGCCCTTTCCCCTAGAATACCCGGCTGGCCTCTAAGTTATGGAGTAATCCTCCTGGTGCTGATCTCAGCTATTCTTGGGTATCAATCTCATATTTTATTACTTTCTATCCCCCAGATGAATGCAATCTTTCTATGTCTATCCCTCTCTTTCTGACTCATTTCGCTTAGCATGATACTTTCCATGTTGTACCACTTGTATGTAAATTTCATGACTTCATCTTTTCTAACAGCTACATAGTACTCCATTGTGTAGATGTACCAAAGTTTCTTTAACCAGTCATCTGTTCTTGGGCATTCAGGTTTCTTCCAGTTTCTGGCTATTGTAAAGAGTGCACAGCTTCTTTATTCATTTGTTGTTGGATATTTGAACTCTTTCCCTATCCTGGCTATTTATCTTTTATTTTTTATTGAGTCACTGTCAGATACACAGTTACAAGTTGTTCATGGTTGAGTTTTAGTCATACAGTGTTCCAACAGTATAGGCCTACATATATCTTTTGGAATTAATGTTTTTATGTTGGGGGGTGTAGATGCCAAGAAATAGAATCACGTGGGAGCTCTGTTTTTTTTTTGTTGTTGTTGTTGTTGTTGTTTTTTGCTTTTTGGGTCACACCCGGCGATGCACAGGATTTACTCCTGGCTCTGCATTCAGGAATTATCCCTGGCGGTGCTCAGGGTACCATATGGGATGCTGGGAATCAAACCCGGGTCAGCTGCATGCAAGGCAAACGCCTTACCCACTGTGCTATCACTCCAGCCCCTTTGCTTTTTTTTTTTTAGAAATCTCCATATCACCTTTAATTGAGACTGAACCAGTCAACACATTGTATACCATGCTATTGATAATCCAATGGTTTACAACCCTGTATTCATTTTGGGAGTATGACCTCACACCTACTACTCACCACCAAAATTCTAGTGCCACTTCCATGATCAAACTGACCCCCCACCAGTGCCATTTTCCCTTCTATTTCCACATTCAGAAATGAAAGCAGAAACTTCTGTTGTCAGTGTGGAGTCTCTGGGATCCCCCAAAGAAGCCACTGAACAAGGATAATGATGTCCCTATGCAATTTCTCATTTTAAGTATGTTCATTCTTCAACCCGGCTCCCCCTCCCCCTCTGATTTGTAATATTTTTTCTCATGTGTGAAGGCAATTGGAAACTTATATTTTGAACACAACACTTTTTATATATTCAAGTAGGGGGTCCAGCGGCTGTAGAGGTAGTATGCGGAGAAGGTGTTTGTTTTGCAGACCGCTGACCCCAGCTAGATTCCAGGCACCACTTGACCACTTATGATCTACTGAACACTGCTAGGAGTGATCCCTGAACATAGAACCAGGAGTAAGTCCTGAGAATCACTAAAGTGTGGCTCAGTCTCCCCCAAAATTGGGGTCTAGCGGTTCGGGAAATAACCTAAAGGGCTGAAGCTCTTGTCTGGCATGCACAGGGCCCCAGATTTGATCCCCAACATAGAATGGCCTCCTAAGCATCACCAGGTGTAGCCCTGATAGGCCCTAGAACTATTGGGGAGGGTACTGTCTCTCACCACCTCAAAAAAAAAAAGTAGTACAATTGGAGGTCAAGCAGAGAACTATTAAATGTGATTGGGGCAATCTTTCAGAGGCAGAATCTCTGCTCTTTTATCAGTTTTTTTGGCAAGAACAACAAAACAAACAGGCAAGAACAACAAACAGAACTCTGGGGTTGGTGAAAACTGGGGTGGCTGCTAGAAGGGAAGTGGAGGGGAGTAAGAGGAATGGGAGAAAGGGGGTGGGATAGCACTGTGGTGGGCTGTGGTGAGTCCTGTATATATAGAGAAGTGTGAAGCTATGTCCCTGAAATTTTATAGCATTGTGAATCAATGATAATTCTATTTATTTATTTATTTATTTATTTATTGCATTTTGGGTCACACCCAGCGATGCACAGGGGTTACTCCTGGCTCTACATTCAGGAATTACATCTGGTGGTGCTCAGGGGACCATATGGGTTGCCGGGAATCAAACCCGGGTCAGCTGCGTGTAAGGCAAATGCCTTACCCACAGTGCTATTGCTCCAGTCCCAATGATTTAAGTTTTAAGAAGAAGGTCAGAGAGATCACACAGGAGGTAAGGCAGTTTCCTGGCAAACCACTGACCAGGCTAACCCCAAAGTTCATGACAACCCAAAGTTCTGAAGAATGCTTGAAAGCATTTCTGATGGCCCCAAGTTTATGAACCTAAATGTCTTCAAGCATTTCTGGTGCTTTCTTGATAGCAAATGCTGTCACATCTCACACACATGCTTGAGAATCACTGGCCCAAAGGAAGGAGCTGGAAGCTCCCACATACCAATAACACAGCTCGGCTCACCCTAGAGCTGAACTTGCTTCACTTCCACAAAAGGGAGCCTGGGATGTAAGACTGTTCTGGAGCTTGACTCATCCACCTCTTAACAAAATGGCCTGAAGGTAGTTCCAGGTAAGAATATCTGAAGTTCTGCCTTGTCCACCTGATAGAGATCTAGGGTCCTTTGTGTGCCAGAGAGGATTGATCCCAGCC